GGTAAGCTCGATCTAATCATTAATACCGCATTTTCGCCAAAGGAATATTCGCTTTTGGGGAAGATCTGGGATTTCTGAATGAATTCACCGTGATACGTAGATGTATATACGTCCTGGATGAAAACACTTATCCAAGTAACTCATACGTGCACGCACGCATACACATTTGCGCTGATTATGTTCGATAAGCGAAGTGAATCTGCTGGTTCCGGAAACACGCTTGGGTACTGCCATGTAAAAACGAAGTGTCAGTGATAGTTTATAGCGCAATGAGTGTAAAACTGGTGTTGGCTGATGTTATTCTAATCCAGTTCTTTATCCGTCGCGCATAGCTTTTCAGCCTTAATTCCTTTGTTTTACCCCTAGCTCAAATTTAGCCTTAGTATCTATTGGTTTACCGATAAACACAAGGAAATGTTGCAACAACTAGAATATAGCTTTGTTTGATCAGGAAGGGCGTTCTGAAAATGGTAGAACAATCGACGGTGGGAACCAAAGGAGAAATTACTAGTTGACAAAGATCGTAGAGACCACGAAGCAGAACAGTTGAAGTATGAGTCAATGCGCCGATGTGTCCAAACATTAGTATATACCAGCAACAGAAGCAAAATTCAGCGAGAGGACCATCGGTGTATCGTATTGTTGCTTCAAGCAGTGACAGCTTAACAGTGATTCGACCATTCGAACGAAAAGACAGGCTGATACGTGATTGGCCCTATTGGTGAGCCTAGGCATCACCAGAACTCTCGAACAGTGGGTTGATATTTATAGATTAAGGGGCTTTGTCGGGAGCCGTTGCGGTAATTCCTCATTTAACAAATGTCGCAGTATCGTGAGTGTAGTAATCACTGACGTTCCGGTTGAAGGTACTAAGATCAGCAAGTTAAAAAGATTTAATTATATGACATCGACCTATCGACCCAAGACAGAGACGGTCTACACCATACGCTCAAAATGGGGGCGATCCTGAGTGCTTTGCACGAACTCCAGGACTGAATATAAAACACATCAACGTGCTTTTCTCTGGGTTTTTTCATATTGCCGTTCTCTCGGTCATTTTCAGAACACCTTTTCAGGTCGGTGAAAACTAGTCTGGCTGTTGGAACCTGGCATTGTGCTTATCAGTTAGCAAATTGATAGCAAGGCTTAAAAGTCATTAGCCAATGCTAAGCACTACGAGCGAAGGATTGGCTACCACGGGAAACCACATTTCACATGAGATTGATCCAAGCGAAAACTTTGAGGGATGAAGTGTCGTTCTTAAACCAGCACATGAATCAACTGGGCTCAGTGAAATCATGACATTTACCTACGACGGACTTTTTACTTAATCTTACCGGTTGGAATGAACAAATAAAGAAGGTAGGTGATAGCTTCACATTTTTTTAATTAAACAGGTTGCGATTTCCTCTGGTTGGCCGTGATAGAATTTTAAACCTACTGTAACGTTGATAATCAACCAAAACACAAACTGCAAACATTTTCCCGTGTGTTTCATAATTAGTACATACTCTGTTCACAGTGGAGAAGTTAAAAGATATTATTTAATTCCTAGTTCATTGCGTCGTCCGTACCAATATTACTTTTCGGTTCACATATGTTTTAATTGATTCTGTAATCTACATAACCATGAAAAACGACCGAAACCTGTGGTACATTCGATTTACAAATGAACGGACACATACCAACCCAATGGTGGAAGTGGTTCGACGCAACCATTCGCAAATGTAAGGTTTCAGACCGGTCAGTAAAAAAGACACTCTAGGGAGACCTCAGAGTCCGTTGAATCCGGGAAGTTTTCTTTCAGTCTCAGTTTTACAACCATAGTGATTCAACGCGAATTGATGAGCTATTACATTGATCTCTGTAAACAGCCGAGTAGGACAGTTGACAGGTGTGAATACATGAAAACATGCAAAAGACGACACGGTTGTATGTGCAAACCTTCATCACGCCGAGAAACACTTCTTGCCCACAGAAAGAGCACCTAATGATCCCATTGGCTCAGTTGCGAGTGATGACCATGCAAAATTATGGTACATATCCTATTCGCATGCAGGATATGGGGTAGATCGGGTGTTCTCAAAACCTTATCGAATAAGCGGGAATAAATCAGATGGGTGGTTGCACTTTGGAATTCTGTTTGAGGGACTTTGCAAAGCCGAAATAGTTTTGAGAACTCTATGGGAAATTCGGTTATTTGAAGTCCTGAAGCTACACGTTATTATTCAACCCAATAAATTTTCAACTAGAATGACTTTAATTCCCAGAATGAATGCCCATGACGACACTAAAATAAAGGCTCGAAGTTGAACGCTTGTTTTATTTCAGGATTTGGGTAAGTGTTAGTCTCTCGTTCGATTAAACACCATGAATTTACAAATAGGACTTGGTGCAAAGGTGGGAATAAAAAATGCATGAATTGGTTTGTATACCTAAATCCTTCTTTTCCATCACCCTCGTTGCGCTTTCTATTCGGGAGTATTGAAGAGTGGAGAAGAGATAACTACATCAATGATGGGTAACAAATGCAAGCGTTTAGTTTCGAATGAACATTACGCAGAAAAGGTGCATATGCGAATAAGGTCTGAGATTGGTGTGGTTCGCTCATATAAAATGTCACCTAGAAAGCTGAGTGAGCGGCTTATTGTCATCCGCCATCAATCTGACAAGTGGTACTTAGAATGGACTCCTAAAAGTTGTTACGTCTTGCATGAGATGTTAATTACACTACTCACATTCCATCTTTTACTGTAAAGGCATTGAAACTGAACGGGTCAAAAGGACAGTATGACTAGTTAACCCTATTTCCTCTCTCCCTTTCAAACAGTGAAGTGGACAAATAGTGCAAATCCCGGACAAGTGCAAGAAGCCGAGCCACAAGAAAATGCGTGTTTGCGGAAAATTTCGTCCAGCAACTCATAGCTAGTTTATTGGTTTTGGTCACCTGTCTGGTACAGGCTACGTTACGATCTTAGAGTTAAAGATTGCACAGTTCTACGCCGGTCTATTAAAATTCCTTCTGGCATAAGCGGTATTCCTTATTTGCACTTGCTTAACCTTATCGCCGATAAACATTTTGCCTCTGCTATAACTTCTGCAACAATATTCTGTCAGACACCACTCACCCATTACACACAGAACTTAAACAATGTATATTCACTTCTGAATCTAGATGTCGTTATATACTGGTGTATGCTCGCATCACTGTCTATCGTTTGCCCGTCATCCCCTATCTTTCGAGATTTCTGGTTCAAAAGGCATCCGTTAGAGAAAACGTTTTGAATTTCCTACGCCACTGATACCCCTTTTCAAAACTTTACGTCACATTCCTTTGAATTTACGATGCTGATTTTTCACTTTTTGTGATTATTCGCGATGATAAAAAAGTTCCTGGAGTGCAAGAAGCTGAGAATCCATCCATTCGAATGAATGAAGCAATTTTTTATTTGACTGGAATTGCGTATCTTTGACAAAAATCTGTGGGTAAATTTACCAATCAAATTTATCGGAGTGTAAGTGAAGCAAATCGTACAAACTTTATTGGTAGTAATTACGTCCTTATGTTCATTTTGGTTTGATTGCAACAACGGGACTACTATTGGTAGGTATTCAAAATCTACGATGTTTGGGTAAATTGTCCGCGAGGTATTAGGGTGATGATCCTATCCTCCTAGATGATGCAAGCCTATGAGCAACGCATTACGATTTCTGGACAACAAACTACAGGCCAACAGCATCGACCACTCTGAAGCTGTGGTGGTTCAAACAGAGGCTGTGTGACATTCAAGATCCAAGCAGGCCATTAGGAAGTGTCTGTTTAACCAACACCGTTTCCTGGTACGTATTACTGAATCCTGTTGATTTCCTTTATTGTGATCTTCTTCCTACATCTCGATGAATGGGAGAATCCGGTGTAGGATTACTAGCGCGATTATTAGTGCGATTACGATCCGTGATTCTTATCTGTTCCGATTACTTCAGTTCAGTTTGTACAACCATTAACTATGAACTATCGTGCACCGATTTTGGTTGCTTTCTTTTAGCTGAACATTACTAAAGTTAGGCGACACCGCAACTGTATCCACACAAAGCATTTTGGTTGCAAAGCGGTTCGAATGAGAGGAATGATAGTTGTATTGTAGCTCAGGAATGTTCCGGGAAGTGCTGAAGAACTATCTCATCTTGATCGGAATCTACCCTTCATCTGGCCTCGCCCGTTATTACGTTTACCAACCCGGTCAGTTTGAAGCAATGAAGCAACATCAGAACCTCCATCATGCGGATGTAGAATAACGATGAACCGATTCCTGTTTCTCATCATCTTCGCGATCCTGAAATGATCGATCGATCAGCTTGATCGTCTCAATCAGGGAGGGCATTCGATAAATGAGTGCTCTATCCAGTGATAAAATCAATGTCCACGACTTTTCAGTTTATACAGCTTACTGATCACCTCGTAAATTGCAATTCGATCAATGAACAGGAACAATAATATCAAAAGTTTGATGACGCATATTTAAATTGAACCAGGTCATTTGAATTAACCCCATAACCTAGTGAAAAAAATGTTTGCGTGATTGGGACAGGTTCGATTTCTCACACGTAAATGATACTACATTTCAATTAGAAATTCAATCGAACAGCATCGAGAAAAATTATACTGATACCCATTGATAATTCGAAATCTCAGGAGTTTGAGAGCGTTTCTTATTCATGTGGGTTGTTTTTCAAATTTAAATTTCAATGGTGGAAAGAATGTTAATTTTCATATCTTTTTGATTCTTTCGTTGGTATTGTTGCTGTGTTTATTTGAAGCTGCTAATATCATTCTAATTGAGGTACTAATAGCAGCATTAGTCGCTGTTAATACAAAAGTAGCCCTTCCAGCAAACGAGGCAATGCATTGACTCATTTCATTCTAATTCCAGTAAACATTCAATGGCCAAAAAGAGGCCAAGAAAGAGAAACATGGACACACGCACGGAGATAAAAGAAGATCAATATGCCTGGAAAAATAAATCATCCAACAATTCCTGTTCCAGAGATGACATAACTGGAGCGGTCGAGCCCAACTGGGATTCCGAATCGATTTCAAACAGGGAAATGCCAATCTGAAGATTCGAAGATACCGTTGACCGGAAAGTAGGTAACACATCGGATGATATAGCAGTGGAGCTGACGTGTTCAGGTAAAATTTTGTGATCAAAAGATTCTATATCAGAAATCAGTGCAATCACGTGATTCACATCATCCATTGATTTCATCCATTCGTCTGGATTCTTCGATGTTGGCTGTTCGGAAATATCAATATTTCCTGGCACAAGAGGTAAACACGGTGCAGGGGATATGATAGAAACGAATGATGCTCAGTTAAAGGATGTTCTAAGTCATTTCTGTGACATCAATGATGGAGAGAAACTTCAAATTAACTGGATTATATTATTCGTATCGGCTAAAGAATAACTCCGAAGCAGTTTCAATGATGAAAAAATATGTGAACTGATCACTTACACAATGTATGATCTTAGCAGAAGGAACAATAACCAATACAGTATGTTAAAACTTTTGAGCAGCAATCAAAGTCGTGCTGTGCCTCAGAATAGAGTGGACAAGAAAATCGGGAGTGTGAAGGTGAAACAAGGCTAAAAATAAAACCCTTTTCGGGGAGACACACAAAGCAAACTTCTGCATCATACTTGCTTTGGTTCTTGAGGACTACATGAAGTCACAATTTTGTATTTTATTTTCACACACGGCTGAGTTCAGGCTGTGCCAAACTAATCATAGTACAATAATGTTTATCAAAAGCTAAGATCTATGATTTGTTGGAGGACATACTACATACTAGGTTGTCCCGGCCAAAGAAAGTAAGTCACACTTAGTACGACTACTAGTTGGCGGATGGTCTTAATCCAAACACATCACTAAAGTAAGAGAGCAACGAATAACCTTAAAAAGCAAAAGGTTTCCGAACTCTCATTTTTTCCAGAATACTTTACCACCTCCAAGTTGATATGAATCAAATTGTCATCACTTAAAAACGAATTGGTTAAATCTTAGAATCCAGCACTATCCCTATTGACCCATTCGTAGTAAACGGTTTCGCTTCTGCAACTGTCCTCGTTGGCTCCTCGGTCTTTCGCTGTTCCAAAATAAACGATATATTTTATGGGTAATCTCACCAATAAGTAGGCGTTTATAGCATTAGATTACATGCCAAAACTTCCTGTGTCAAATTATGAAATACCGTTATATGCTGTTCTCACAGTTCGAGTACGTTTGAAATTTAATTCCTTGTGAAACCAGCATGCATCATTATCATCATCATCAGGATTTGCTTGTATATATTTAGGAGCGATAGGACTTAGTTTGGTATCTGTTTTACATTTGAATAACCCATTTATCGAGAAATGTACCCTACAGTTATCACCGGGGCAAGCGATTCTTGATGGTATTTCTACTTATTGCAAATCGTGTATCACTTCCGTTTCAAATCAAGTAGACCGGTTTTCGTTACCGCTAAAAATCCAGGACTGCCCTAATGATACAATTGTTGATTTTCCTGTGCGACAGGACACTCTTGAAACACGCTCGTCTCTGGCCCTAAAACGGTTTACAGAAAATGGGCTGTTTAACGACGCACATTACTTATCTCAACAACTCAGAACATTTTGTCAACATATATGTTGATGCAGGTTTGAGGAGTGACGTCCTATTTTACGCATGTGCGTTTGTTCTGGTCTGTCCTACTATCCTTCCAGCTATCAGTTATCCCTCACTTCGTCCTGCTCTCCTCTCCCGCTCTGTCCATACCCCACGGCCAGACTATCGGGACACAGACACACGCGAAGAATCGATTAGACGCGAACCACACATTTTCTTCCGCCCAATTGGTTACGAAAGTCCAACTGAACATCACGTGGTATCCTAGACCGACTGGTGCTGACGTCAATCCACCGTCACGTGCCGCACCTGCCTATGAACGCCACGTTTGAAATCGTCTGACGTCAGAACTGAATGACCAGTGCAACCGATAGGCGCACAACAACGTAACACGTGATTACCCGGTCAGAACGAACAACACTGCGCTAATTTGCCTGTCAGCCTCACAGCGAAGTGCAAATGGTGTCAAGTTGGAATGTGATTAGCATATTAGAATGAATTGGTGAATACCAATGGCAAAACTGGAGACGCGCCTTTGTGCTTAGTATGGTAGAGCAAATCCTACCTCAAAACAATTTGGATTATACTATTTTTAAACAATAAATGTTGCAACTGAGAGAGGATTCCGAAGCATAATGACCAACTTGCTAATATGCAAAGCTCCATAGTTAAAATTCAGGGTTTATTGGTAAACAACGAGAATCGATCGACCGTTGCAGTAATGCTACATGACCAGAATACTGCTTGAGTCCAACCAACACGGCAGCATGAAGCAAATCTGCTAGAAAAATCCAGTTGGACAAAATGGCACCACCCATAATTCAGGAGTATTCAAAAAGCACAATCCATTATATATATCGGTGCGCCAGCACCGATTGGAGATCTTCTAATGTCAATTTAACAAAACCTAGTATCAATTTAAGAGTTCCTCTTTTTACGTGGACATTATCTTGTGGAGTACAGCAACGAGCCCTAGTGACGGAAGTTACCATGATGATTGTACATACATAACAGGCAGGGCGGATTGGCAAGATAACACTCCTCAATTAAGTACATACAGTTAACCTCCTTCGAGGATTCGAAAAATGAGTAAATTCGAAGAGCCAAGAAACTATATTGGTCAGTGGCATATGTTTAAAGCAGTGTGAAAAAGTGTGAAAAAATTTACGAAAACGATGCAAGCTACCTAACTTTCTGTTTTTCTTTTCATTGTGTACAATTATCCACTGCTTAGTTTCACGCAGTCCTGACGCATCGAAGAAATTAAAGTCGTTTATGATACGCCTAACATATAAACACTGCTGTCGGCATTTAACCCTTATTCGGTTTGAAAAATCTAGTTACTTTTCCGTGGGTCTATTTTTCCAACCTAATTACCGAATTTCAATGCAAATGATTGTCCCATTCAATTGCAAGCCATGTGACATTTACCAGTCATTTGTTTTACCGGTCACGTGCAGAGTTTCGACTTCACTGCACTGAGCCACAGACAGGCTGATAGTGTTGATCGGCAGTGTTGTGCATCGGTGTTATTGTTTGCGATACTGGCAGAGGATCATACCGCCTCAGGTACCGCCANNNNCGCCAAATGTGCGCACAGTGTTCGAACCGAGTTGGATCATTCAAGCAACAAAGAAATGAATCGTTGAAATTGTACAAAAGCGACATCTTGTACACGGCACTGACCACAAGGTTTTAGAAAATAACAACCCAATATGACGTACATGACATCTATTCTTTTAAAGACGACATTATCTCAGATGTGTTGAAAAGGGTTCCGAAGGTTAGGATGCATAAAAACGAACTTATGGGGAGGCTGAATACAGAATTACGAACTTGATTTCAGTGACGTAGATTTCGAATTCACGTCCCCAAAACTCAGATGACTTTTGCCATATGATTGTTTAATATTGCATAACTGAAACTGACCCAACGCATCAGAGGTATGGCTGACTCATACTACTTTCGTGGCGTGTACTTTAATGACAGCATTCGGAGCGGTGTCATCAGCATTTTGCATCCCCAAAGACACATTTTCTACGATGAATCAGTTGAGAAAAGTCATGATTAGAATCCGTTTGGTTTCCGCATATAATCGAGAGACGTATCCTCATCACATCAAATCTGATTAATTTGGGTGATTAGGTTGCTGCGAGATTATGGAAATCAAGGTGAGGCTAGTAAAATTTTGTGCTCCATCTATGGCTAGCACATGTTAAGTTGGTGGACCCGGACCGAACGAATGACGTTTGTCAAAGGTTTCAGGGTATGCGGGACTGTGATAGTTCATAACACTGTCCCTCCCCCACCTTCACCAGCACTCCAACAAAAGAATAAGAACTAATTAGGCTGAATGGCGATCATCCAGACGTCGTTGCAGGGCTTAAACTGTACGTGGGCCTGACAAATCTGATGAGTTCAACGTCCCATGTGGAAATCTTTCTTTGCTAGCAAGACAACTTCAAGTGATACCCAGATATCTTGATTTCATACCAGGGCAATTTTCTATCCACAAGGTATAGAAGAGATAAATCGTCAATTTTAGCGACAGGTAACATTTCCACCAGTTCACTTTTAGCATATGCATTCCAATTTATAAAATTCCATGACTTACTTAAATGAAATACTCTGAACGTTCGAGCGCAAATTTGTGAATAAGACACTCTACAGTAGCATGACAACATCCTGAATATAATCCAATCAGCTTTAACCGCGGCTGATTGAATAACTAAACTTCTTATATTACGCACTGAATCACACGACAAAGTATCCAGAAGAATGGAATTATACAGTGAATTTCGTAGTATGCACCTCGATCGACGCGTGAGCTGAAGCGCGAGGAGGCAATGTACAGCTGGTTTGACCTGGTCGGGTCGTATCGGAATTGCGAATAAGTAGATCCAACTAAGGGTCGAACCCGGGAACTCACAGGTAGAAGGTAAGCATACCATCCTCTTGCTAGTCGAGAGGATGGTAAGACCGTTTCTCATTTTGAATTTACAGGATATAGCACAACTCATCTTTGCAAGCTTGTTCGCTCAACTCAGCACTAGCCTCTAGAGTTACGACTCGGTTGGAAACATTCCGAACTTGACTACTTGTCACACAAGAATAGTGAAAGGTTTGATATGACCATACGGGGAATTTCGTGGAATATTGTTTCTATAGAGCCTACGGAAGCGGGAATAGTCAAATAAATTAGGAGGGTCCAATAATTTTCTCGCACACTGTATCAGTGTTACTTAAATCGGGGTAAACGGAAGCCCCCAGTTTCGGTCAGCTCTATCCGCCCTTACTATTCCCCTTCCAGTTACTAATACAACTCGGTCCCCAGGTTAAATTTATTTAATTGTTCATACGAGTCATATTCATTTCAGCTTCGAGGGCAACCAACAAACACGATATCCTCCTACAACAGACCCCACATATGGGTTGTTGCACTAACCAACAAGCATTCAGCTCAATCCCGATGACAGCCGCTATCACGAATGTTCGTCATGTGGGCAATACGAAATTAATCTGCATATTAGAACATGTCGAATGACACCCAAAACAATCAGTGCACCAGTATAGAACAGTCTGGATCTTTGCCTTCCTCGAACAAGCAATGCGGGCAGATTTGACGGCACTCCAATATCATGGTCAACAGAG